ATAATGTAGCAATACTTAACTAATGTACGTACATGAAACTGCCTTTTAAACAAATTACGACATTTTGATACAACACAGAGGGTAGTTTGGAACAAATTGCAAATGAATGAGTATTGGAAAATCAAGTAGTTGGAAAGCCATAATTAACTGAAGCGGATGTTATGTCCCATAGCAAGTGTGATCACAAGTGACGGTGCTGTGGTGTGTGCTGTGAGCTCGTCGTAATTGATTGGTTTTATAGTGGTTTTTCAGTGAAACTATTCTGAATTTTTGGTTCATTGTACAAGAATGAAAGGTCTGATCCTCTTGGGGGATTAGTGCATCCATAAGTTAAAGGGTTTGTGGTAAATTAGCGAAAATTGTCAGGCTTATTATCTGCAGTGACCTAGTAGTATATTTTAATCACTTGTTTTTACATTCTGCATAGTAGATAGGCGCTGATTTGTGTTTTTCACTGCCTCCCTTGTGGAGGCGGTGTTTTCTTTATTTTTCTAGTTGTTGCTTTATATTTGGCTATTTGCAAATTATCACCTAATGGCGGTCAAGTGTCATAAATGTTTGCGTACAATTGGACGTACGGATAATTACATCTCCTGTAAAGATTGTTCCCATAATTATCACGTTTCATGCGCTGGTGTATCAGATACTGAATTTGATAATATGCAGGATGCAGGACTCCTTACTAGCTTTTGTTGTACATCTTGTAAATCGAAACCTGGTGTGATCTCTGGAGTTTGCATTAAATCTGGTAATACAGTTTCTTTGGATAGGCAAGGTTGGTACCTCTCCACTGACCAGTTTAGAGAATTAGTGGCAGGCATTGTTAAAAGTGAATTGCAGCCTTTCGTGGATAAAATTGATATTTTACAAACAGAAATTCGTAATCTATGCTTGGAGAATTCTCAACTACGCAATGAAGTCGTAAAATTAACCAAAGATTCACATTCTCGTCCAGTTACTGAAAATAATTTAACACCTATTGATGTGACCACTAAAACGTCTTATGCTGAGGCTATCGCTAAAAATTCTCAGCAAACTGTTATTATCAAACCAAAGGATAAGACTCAAACAGTTAACAAAACTAAGTCTGATATTATGACTAGCGTGGACCCTGTTGAATCTTCGGTTAACATTGGTAAAGTGAAGAACCTTAAAGATGGCTGTGTGCTACTAGGTTGTGATGATGTTAAGCGATTTACACAATTAGCGAAAAATAAACTTTCTTCTGCCTATGATATTCGCGAAATTAAAACGCTGCGTCCTCGAATTAGAATAGCTGGTTTATCTGATGATGTTGATAAAGACAGTGTTATAAATTATTTGACTAAACAGAATGAATTTATCTTTGATAACAGTAACGAATACAAGTTATTAAAATACTCTCCTGTAAAAAATAAGTCTGATCGCTTCCAAGCAGTTATCGAAGTAGATATTCCCACTTATAAAAAAGCGGGTAGCATTGGTCATTGCTTAATTGGTTTAAATAGCTGTTCAATTTTTTGTGGTATCGATATTTCCCGCTGTTTTAAGTGCAATGGTTTCAATCATTCGTCTAAATACTGCAAAAATAATTTATGTTGTCCTCGTTGTACTGATAAGCATGAGTTAAGTGAGTGTAAAGCAGAGACTCTTTGCTGTATTAATTGTAAAAACATAAAAGGTACTGGTACTTCTGAGCTTATTAATACCGATCATGCTGCATGGGACCGCGATAGTTGTCATGCATGTAACACGGCCATCAACAAAATAAAACAAGATCTCTTTCGACTATCGGCATAGCAATCAACTTCCATATTATCCGAGGATGTACCTTTCTTCTTCACAACAAATCAGGATTTAAGTTCTTCCTGGGAAAGCTTAGCTTCACACATTAACATCAACGCTTCCCTGACTTCTTCTACACGATCAGTATCTGTATATTCTTCTTCTCATACTCGCTCTCCTAATATTCTAGTTTACTATCAAAATGCTAGAGGTTTAAATTCCAAACTGGCTGACTTACGTAATTCAATGATTTGTTGTGATTTTGATTTTGTCTGCATTACGGAGACTTGGCTTAGCTCTTCGATTTTTGACTCTGAATTTTCTCCGGATCATTTCCAAGTTATTAGATCTGATAGGAACTTTGAAAAAATGAATGTTTCAAAAGGGGGAGGCGTCCTGTTAGCTGCTACTTGTGAATATACGTATCTCAGATAGATTTACAGTCTCGAGGATTTGGATCGTTGCAATTCACGGATTTAGTTTGTGTCAAATGTTCTGCAGCCAGTTTCACTATCTATATTTTCGTAATTTACATACAACCTAAAGCCAATGTCGAGGAATATGAATTGTTATTTCATTTAATCTCTGCCACAACTGAATTATATAATCAGCGAGTTCTCCTAATTGGGGATTTTAATATTTCTAATTATCAATACAGTTCATCTGGTTTTGTTACGGGTAATAGTCCTCTGTCATCTTTATATAACTTTTTGTATTTTTGTGATTACCGACAGTTTAACAATATCATCAATGCTAATGGCCGGTGTCTCGATTTAGTGATTTCAGGATTCCACTGTTTAGTTGAAAAGGCTTCTGATTCTCTGGTTAATGAGGATCTTCATCACCCATCCCTTTTGATCACTATAAAGCGGCAGAAACCAAGACAGAAATCCATAAATAATAATAGATCTGCTCATAAACAGTGGAATTTTCGAAGAGCTGATTATCCTGGTTTATATAAATATTTGACAGATTCCAATTGGGAGTTCCTTAATAACATTAATGATGTCAATCAGGCTTGCTCTCTTTTTTATGATCAGATTAACATGGCACTTGAATTGCATGTTCCGAAAACCCATCGCTTACGGAAATCATCTTTTCCTCCTTGGTTCACGGCTGCAATCATCAGCAATTTAAAACTTAAATGGAGGCTGCTTCGTAATTTCAGATTAAGGAAAAGTGTGGGAACATATAGTCGTTTTAAAAGAGTTAGATCTGAACTTAAAGGGGATATAAAAGCTGCTTTTGTCAACTACACATCTAATCTTGAAGCTAAAATCAAGTTTGAACCTCGCAGGTTTTGGTCTTACGTTAATAATTTAAATAGTTCTAATGCCATTCCTTCGCAGATGATGTACTCTGATAAGTTATTAACAAAACCTGTTGACATCGTTAATGCCTTTGCAGAACATTTTTCTAGCAACTATAATGCTTGTAATATTGATAATATTGATAATTTTCTTGACGGAGCTTCAAACACAAGTTTCAACTTAACATCTATTTCTGAATACGAGGTCCTTTGTGCTCTTAAGCAAATAAAAGCGAATAATACATCGGGTCATGACAATATTCCTGCTTTCTTATTGTCAGATTGTGCAGCTGTGTTGGCTTATCCTCTTTCCATATTATTTAATCTAATCTTAAAGACGTGCACTTTCCCTGATGTATGGAAATTGCCCATAATTTCTCCCGTATTTAAATGTGGCGAACGAACTGCTGTGGAAAATTACAGACCTATATCTTTGATATGTAACTTCGCCAAGATCTTTGAAACGGTGTTGCATAAATCTTTCTTTTTCAATATTCGCAGTTTAATTAGTGATTCTCAGCATGGATTTGTCATTGGCCGGTCTACTGTTACAAATTTGTGTGCTTTTACGCAGTTTGCAGCTGACCAACTTGATGCAAAACTTCAGGTTGATGTAGTTTACACCGATTATTCTAAAGCTTTTGACAAACTTAATCATAATATCCTGTTAGCAAAATTGTGTAACTTTGGCTTTTCTGATTCTCTCATTAAGCTAATTGGTTCTTATTTGTGTAGTAGATTACAGCGTGTCAAATATCAAGGTCATGAGTCGATAATTACTGTTGTACCCTCTGGTGTGCCTCAAGGCTCAGTATTGGGACCTCTGTTGTTTGTCATATACATCAATGATATAGTTAAGAACATTAAGTCAAATGTTTTAATTTATGCTGATGACTTAAAAATTTACAGACAAATTACATCAGTTGAAGATTGTATTATTTTGCAGAGTGATCTTGATATTTTTCTAAGCTATAGTTCTTCCCATTTCCTTCCTGTAAATTACAGTAAATGCAAAATCTTGTCCATCACTAATAAAAGCATGCAAATAATGTTTAATTATAGCTTAAGCAATTCACTTATAACCAGAGTGGAGACACATTATGATTTAGGAGTCTTCTTTAATTCCAAATTGACATTTGAGAATCATATTAGCAACATGTGTTCAAAAGCCCTAAAGTCACTAGGCTTTATTATTAGATGCAGCAGGAATTTTAAGGACATTGGTTGCATGCGAGTTTTATATTTTGCTTATGTTCGATCGAAGCTGGAGTATGCTAGTATAGTATGGTCACCGTTTACACAATGTCATATCCAGGCAGTGGAAAAAGTTCAGCGTCGTTTTCTAAAATACTTGGCATATAGGGAGGATGGTGTTTACCCAGCCAGAGGATCTCCTCATTCGGCACTTCTTTCAAGATTTGAGTTGGAGGATCTGAATACAAGACGAATAAAGGCTTTGTTAATCTTTCTTAAAAAGTTAATAAATTTTGATATTGACTGTTCTGATCTTCTCAGCAAATTATCGTTCTTCGTTCCTAGATCGTCTGCTCGTTCTCACCCCTGTTTTTATCTGCGAACACCTCGTCTTAATATAGAAAAATACTCTCCTATTTATGAGATGTGTAATCAATATAACCTACTTCAGAATTCCTTTGATATATTTAGATAAAAATAATAATATTTCTCCTCTTTCTGGCTCTCCCATTTCTCTTTCTACCTGTCCCTTTGTTTTTCTGCATACAATAGATAAATTTAATATTATACCTGCGTTTGAATTGCTTAACTATTCTTATCTGAGTAAAGCAGTAATTAATTAGCTGTTGATTATGTTTGCAATTTTATTGTTGGTCTGTAATTGGGTTCACACCTGTTGGCCAACATAACCAATAATAATAATAATAATAATAATAATAATAATAGCAATCATTTACTGGAAAGTAATACCATTTGCACAGCATTGTCCTAAAAATACACCATTTAAAAATCGATTTCCCACTGTTAATCACTCTCGTCGGAGTCACTGGAACTGGACCTAAAATTACAAGATGTATGAAATAGAAACAACAGTTAAACCAATCTTACTGCGGATCCAAGTCCCCCAAGGCCTGCGTAAAACGCAGCCTTTCTTCCAATGTTGCGAATGTAATGTTAAGATTAATACAATCATTGATCCGAAGTAGGATGTCAGTTTCCCCCATTACAATCAGTTGCTGCCGAGGCAGCTTAAAATTCGCGATGGGTGGATTCCAAGGGGTTATTGTTATTGTTCTAATAGAGGCTTTTACAGTTTTTTCCACCTCTTCGGAATTACACTGAACGAGGGTTTTAGTTTCAAACGGCATTTTCATGCGCTTCTGTTTAAGAGCTAACTGAAATAATCTCAGTTCTTCTACAAGTGAACTTTTTACTCCAAAACGTTTTTGCTCCATAGTAAATGATAAGCAAATACAAGACAGGGTCGATTTGAAAAAAGGCTAATAAACGATAATTTCAATAATTTGGGATATTTTATCTAATAGTTTCACTTACAAACAAAAAATTGATAGATATAACTGTTGGCCTGAAATTCAACGATTTCTGTTATGGACGTCGGTCTTCAATGACTACTTTTCGTCTATTGCCTATCAATTTTAAGCATTTAAACATGGTTGTCATACAAAGCAAACTGAATAACTAAATTGTATTTGTAAATGATAAGAAATGCTGACTCAAAGAAAATGAAATAATGAGTTTTTTAATCTAACTTAACTATACTTCTTTGAAAGATGAAATAATATAATTATGTGTTTGATGATGATAGTAAAATGAGAATGATGGAATTATTCTATTAATGGGGTAATTAATTATAAATTAGTACATAACACAAATGCCAACTAAAAGAATTAATATCCAAACGGTATTGTATCAAAATTTTCCAGAATATCTCTCTTGTCATAAACAAAACCAAATTCCTTTGTTTCTATTTTATTTAAAAGTTCTTTAGTTTTAGTATCTCTGGTAATTCGATTATATTGTGTACTGATTTTACTGTCTTTGTGTTCTAAAATATTATTCATGCTATCGGAATTAATCTTTTCGGACGTTTCATATTTTAATGTAAATCCTTTAATTTTGCAAACAACTTTACCTGTATTAGTTTTATAACAATAACTTTTTGAACCTGTTGATACCCAATCAGCAATCCATACGTCCTTACCTAATTCATCGGTCCAATCTCCCAATAGACAACCTGTTTTAACAGTGTTTTTACCATTATCTATATATACAATGCTATCTGTATCATAATATATTACACTTTCTCCTAATATGTCTAACATTTCGTACAATCTTAGTCTAGCATTTGCGGTTGTAAAAGCCGCTATGAATATATTGGTATTGAAATCATTTTCTACATAGCAACCTTTATACTTGTAATCAATTTGTAACATATTTTCGTTTAATTCACTGATATGTATATTATCAAGTCTGTCGTCTAATAAGATCTCATAAAATCTCTTAATATCTGTAACATACTCTGTTGCCCCCATATTTTGTCTTTGACCAAATTTACCCCATAAGGAATTTAAACAGATTTTTGCAACAGCTCTCTTTCCAGGATTATTTTCTATTTTACCCAATTCAATACCTAGATTTTCTTTTACGGTTTTTCTATATTCTTCTTCAGATTCAAAATCATTTCTCCATTCACTTGTCTCTAACTTTATTTTCATAAATGCTTTTACATATCCTTTAAACAAATAACTCGATTTTTGTTCAAAATGCCAAACTTCATCAATAGTTATTATTTTGTATCCTTTTTCAATTGCTTTTCTTACTTCGTTTGTACACCAGGTTCCTCTGATAATTCTTTGAGATTCCGTATGAGTACACTTATCTTTTTGATTATTTAATTTTGCACACAATTGACATAATGGGAATGTTAGTTTTTCATCGCCAGATTTCCTTTTATTTTTAACAGGTAAAATAGGGTGATACAAACCTCTTGGTGGTAAAATTGCACATTTTATTAAACCATACCATTTTGAATTATATGTAGGAGGTTTGAATATTTTAGTAGGATGTCCAACTGGATAATCATCATAACATTGTACTGTTGGATATAAACTACAAATATCTATATATTTCATTTTCTTTCCATTAACTTTTAGTTTTGTAGCATTAGTTCTTCCTCCGAAGAACGCATTTCTAGGATTAAGTTCTTCAATTTCTTTATAATTGCTTTTAATTTGTTTCATTTCTTCTTTATATTCTTTAGATTTAATCCAATTGCATTCCCACATTTCTATTAAATTATAGCCAGCTTTTTTCATTTGCTCGCTTCTTTCTATTGTTTGTTCATAAAGATCTTCCATAGTTGTTTTATTCTTATTATTAATAAAATTTGAACTATAACATTTTGTACAACCATGCCAAAAACAACCGTGATATTGATAGACTGTATTAGATTTTTCATCAAAGCCATCAACTTTTGATCCACATATTCTCACTTCACCATCGTTTAATGCATGTTTTATATTTGGATTATGAAAACTATTCAACCAAGAAATTGATTGTTGAGAATATTGATCTTTTTTTAGATTATCAACAACTGCAATTGTATCTTTCTTAATATATTTTGATCTATATATAGCCATACAAACACCAGCAATTGTAATGTATCTAAAAGGATCTATGTTAGCTATTTCTAGAAATTGTTTTCTTAATTCAAGACATCCTCTTCTTAATATATCCACATCAGAATTACAATAATCATAAAGTTCATTTTTAAAATCAAATAAATAATTTTCTTTTCTTTTTTGTTTATGCCATTCTAAAAACTCTTGCCTATCTTTTATTTTCATAGAATTAACACCATAGTATTTTGTATTTGGTATTTTTCCAATATAGTTCTGATTTTCTGTTGTATTGAAAAAATGTGGAAAATAACCTTTTTTAAGTTCGTTTAGGCCGAATGTTTTGGGGAAGTTTTTTAAAGGTCCTTGAACAAAATTACTACTATCAATAATTCTTAAATTAATTGATTTTATTTCCATTAACATTATTTTAGATCCATTATATATGCAGAAAGGTTTAATACCGTTTTCAACGCAATATTTTAGAATAAAGTAAGAATCATAACCTTTGCCATAATGTGCAATAGCTGTGTATCCTTTATGATCTCTAGAAACTAACCATTTACAGAAATCTTTGTTAGTCTTAAAAGAATCAACATTACCGTAAAAATCGTGAGCTATAACTAAATTAGGTACGTGTTTGCCCGTTTCTTGCATCGCTTCGTAATCAAAGAATAAATATTTTTGTGTGTAAGAGCATTTAGTTGTATTAAATGAACATCCGCAATTAAGACATTGATAACCGTTTTCGTTCTTTGTCTTCGACTCCGGGATCTTTAAATCCCCTCGTGAATCGTCTTTGACTTGTGCTCCGCACCCTTTGGTGAACTCTGGGCTGGCCCTGCCGGTCTTTCTTGGTATTTTAACACAATTTTTACATTCTTTACATTGATAAATGTGATATTTTACTCTTTTGTTCGTTTTATCAGGAAAAGTTACTGTACAACCTTCTCTATCACAATTTTTACAACCTTTTACTTTGTATTCTTTACTACCGTCTTCGGCTTTGCCTCTGGGCTGGCCCTGCCAGTCTTTTATTTTAGTTTGACAGATTCCACCTTTTTGCCGCTTCCATTGCATGTAACATTTATGTTTACGTATTTCAACTTCTTTATAACAATTTCTACATTTTTCCCAGTCACATTTGTGTTCTTTACTACCCTCTTCTATCATTTTATTACCTCTTTCAATAAATTTATTACATTTTTGGACCATTTTCGGTTTTGTACAAATCGGCTTCGCCTTCATGAGTGGATAGAGTCCACGAATTAATCTATTTCCTTCTTCAATCATTTTTTTACCTTCGTCAACCATTTTATCACCTCTTTTGAGTATTTTATTACACTTTAAGCATTTATGAAATCTTTCACAAACTTCAGAATGATTTTCTAAACATTCTTGATTAAAACAGTATCTATTGCATTTTTCGCAATATATTCTTTTAGCACAGTTCAGCAAAGCTTCACGATGAATCAAAGATTCGGAGTCTTCTTTGTGATTAGATTTGAAACACATTATGCATATTTTATCCTTTGTTTTGCATTTATGTTTATCTTTGTTTTGATATGGTTTATCACATTTTTTACAATAATAAGATTGACCATAGAAAGCTGTCATACTACCAATTGTATCAAAATGATTTCCATTTTTATATAAATATATTTTTATATCTTTTTCAGGCCCCGAATATATTATGGAATTAAAGCATTCCGCTGCTACGACTTTTATTTGAATATTTAATACTTTTTCTATACTTGCAATATCATGTAAGGTAAAATACTCTTCATTATATTCTCCAAGCTGATTACATAGCTCTTGAGCTAAAGTTGTTTGTAAATTTCTTCCCATTCTTATATATTTTAATTCATTATCATTATATTCCTTACCGAGTATAATGTTTGTATGATAAGTTAATCCAACAATAACGGCTCTTGGACAACATAATCTATCTATATTTTTTATTTGTGTTATACTTTTCTTTGTTCTTGAGTCTTCTGCTATATTTAACAATCTTTTCGCATTAGTGGCACCTCTAGGCATATTAACTACTTCTACATTAAATGTACAAGTGTATATATCTAAATCTTGATTTGAAGTTAAGATACTTTGAATTTTGTTTAATAAATTATCAATTTCAGAAGTTCTTGATAATCCGGTGGCAATAGGTGTCCAAAGATGGGTGTGGTTAACTACTATATTTAATAAGTCTCCTTCTTTGAATTTTGTTTTCTCTTTTACTATTTCAATCATTTCATTTAAACCCTCTCTAATGACAGTAATTTTTTTCATAATTATGTCAGAAACATCGGACTCTAACGATTCTTCTTCATCTTTCAATAATATAATTTTATAGTAAACTTTATGTGTATTCCATTTTTTGCTGTATTCAGCTTTTGTTTCTATTATTTTAATTTTAGGTTTTTTTGAAAACTCTGTAAAATAATCATCTTCGATTGCAAAAGGTTCCTCACCAATTTTTTGTAATAATTCTGCTTTCTTCATTTTTGAGTAACCTTTGATATTCTTTTCTTTGGCAAGTTTTCTTAGTTCTTTCAACGTTTTATTTTGAGTCGATTTCTCTAATATTTCCTTCAATATTTCTTCTAAACTTGGCCATTCAATTTCATTAAGAAGTGTGTTTAAATTATCATTGTTTACATTATCTGAAATTTGTTTCAATAGATCTATTTTTTTACTATTTCTCTTTATGTTTAAGTTTAGTTTGCTAGCAATTGATTTTAATTTTTTAATACTAACCCTGCTTAATTTTCTATGCCAATCTCCAGCATCCGACTCTTCTTTTAGAATTAGCCGTATAAGAACTGATTTAGTCTTTGAGTTATATTTTGAATAGTTCTTTAAGCCCTGTTTTTTTGCAATAGATTTTAATTTTTTTAAGCTTAGCTTATTTAGTACAGATTCATTATTTGACGGTAGTGGTAAAAACTATTTATCCATCCAAGACGATTTATGAGTTGAAGATGAACTATAGAAGACGATTCTGGTTCGACATCTTTATTAATTTGTTCAATTATTTCACCCACTTTTTTTAAATCCCCTTTAGTATGTTTTACAATTTCCTCAAGACTCATTTTAAGAAGTTGATCTTTCTGCATTTCCATTTATAAGAAAAAAGTTTTTGCAAAATATTTTTTTCAAAACTCTTAAACTTTATCAATGATTATAATATGTTAGTAAGATATGTTTTGGATAGTATTGCTTTCCTACTAATTTACCGCACTTACATAATATTTTTTTACCTCTATATTGTTTATTCCAACATATGTTACACAAAGTTGAATAACCACCTTTGCTTTTTTTATTTGGATAAAAATTGTCCAAATCTTTTTCAGTATTGCAGTTTTTACAAACTTTTTTATCCATTTATTAGAAAGATATTATTTCATAATAAATGACTCATAATACCAAAAGGGAACAGTCAGCTAAACAAAAGATAAACATAATAATTAAAAAAGATTACACATTAACAGAGTCTAGTATTCCGTCAGTGAAGAATTTAAATAATATGCGATCAAGACAATTAGCATTAAATTTTTTAGCACAAAAAGGAGACCCTACTTCTAAAAATATTACCTTAAAAGAGTTTGCTAAACAG